AGACCATTGTACCACTCACCCTGAGACTATTCAAATGATACCAAACATGACTGTAAATATTATTTGCATTGATGTAGAACATTATACTATTGACCATTCTGAGTGAACCAAGTGGAGGGAGGATGGGTAAGGGGAAGGAAGGGGATGAAAAGGAACTGATGCATATGTGAGAGAGGGTTTCCTGCACCTCCACTCTGTGGGGTGTCTCGAAGATGCTCGTGTATGTTTGTATTGTCTGTTTCTCAGGAGATCAAAGTATCTTTGTTTCTTTAATCCTTACACCGTTGAGTTGTCATTTTGCATTATTGACACACTATTTTCCTAATTAATGCTGTTCAGTTGCTTTGACACAATCTGTATTGTTAAAAGCGCTATATAAATAAAGGTGACTTGACTTGACTTGACTAGAAGGGAGAGGAAATAGTCAGTGACTGTGTGTCCATCAGATTGATCAGAGGTGCATGAGAAGAAAGGAGAAGTTAGATGTTAGTCTTTTGATTTAATTACCATCTATACAAAAAGGGGCAATTTAGGAATATTTTTTTAAGTAATGTAAATATGGACCATGTGACATATACTGCATTTAATTCTAAACAGTAGAGGTTTTGTATTCTTGTTTTGTATAGAAAATGTATATAAAACATTGTATAATGCTACCTGTTGTTAGTGTTTTTTAAGTCATTGTTTTGTGATTGAGAAAGTGTGGTTGGTGTGGAAAACTGTGGGAAGAGTTTTGAAAAAGTAACCTAAGTATTGAGAAATGAGTCCTAGCAACTGTAAAAAAAAACAAAAAAAAAAACTAACTGTTTAAAAAAAAAAAAATGTAAATGTGTGCAAATTGACCTCTAGGTAGATATAATTGTTTTTATGGTGCTTGTGTTTGAGAGTAAAAATAAATAAATAAATTATGCAATTTGAAAGGTGTAGTAATTGCAAAATAATAATAATAATAATATTAATAAAAAAAATCCATAACCTTTGCCATATTATTAAACAGAAAGGTGTTTGTTCTATCCTGGTATGCAATAATAATGCACAAAATATTTATCTTAATTAACATAGCCCTTTTGTGAAACACAACTAAAACAATACAGCCTTTTTGTGGGAAATGTTGTATCTTATGCTTGAACTCTTAATATTTTTTTAGGGTTTATTTTCACTGGAGAGATAACACACCGCATGCTGACAGCGACGCAGTATATTGCTCCACTCATGGCAAACTTTGATCCCAGTTTTTCTAAAAACTCCACTGTGCGGTATCTGGACAATGGTGAGTTCACTTAGGATTAGTGCATCACAAATGTTGTATGTTGAAAATGGTTTAGCAAATGTGCAGATTGTGCTATGGTGCAGCCACGGCAAGGAGATGAGATGTGGATCTAAATGCAGCAGTTTACTTTTATTTACAAACAAAACAAAGAAAATCGATGAATGTGCAATGTTGGAGCAGGAGAAAATGAAACAACTTTGCACATGATAAAAAGACACTGGGCCGATGGATGGGCCGACCAGGAGACCATTGTCACTCCGGTGAGCAGCATGCGTGCAATTTTATTTACAAACAAAACAAAGAAGATGATCCACATGATAAAGGTCTTCCTGACTTGATAATGTTGAGTTATTCCACACCAAAATCATCCATTCATGACTTAGTGATGTGAGGATTGCAACCCTCGTTCCCTGATGGAGGGAACGGAGACGTTATGTTGTGACTATATTAGGGGTCTAACTTGGGAGCCCAATCATCTCTGAGTTTAAGAGAAAACGCCACCGAGAATTGGCTAGTGGATTTTGCATGCTAAGCCACTCCCCGTGCACACGGGTATATAAGGCGACAGCGTGCATCCACTCATTAGGTTTTACGATGAGGAGCCGAGAACGTGTCCCGGCAACAGCGAGTGGTTCTAGGTTGTGGCATGGTGACATAACGTCTCCGTTCCCTCCATCAGGGAACGAGGGTTACATACGTAACCGAGACGTTCCCTATCTGTCGGTCACTACGAGTAATGTTGTGACGACATTAGGGGTCTAGGGGTAAAATGCCACAACCTGAACACAAGCTGCTGTTCCGTCCACAAAAAGTTTTTGGAAGGGATTTCAACCTTCAGTGAAAGATTGCTTCAAATCTTCCCTATTTGTTTTTTCAGCCTGGCAGAACGATGGGGAAGCGAGCCTTCAGGAAAACGTTGTTACGGAGACCACATCCTACCCGTAAGGGGGCAGTACTACATGTGGAATGGGTCTCTGAGGCAGGTCCTACCTTAGAGTAGGGATGGAACAACTGCCAGAAGAGACTGACAGAGTGGGTCTGTCAAGGGAAGGCACGGGTTTCCAAGAGGGAAACCTTACCGTGGAAGAGTACACATATAGGATTGCCCACAGGGAATCAAGCCAAATGGACACCTAGCCCAGTACAGGGGCTGACCGGAACTCCGGGCATGGTAACACCAGTACTGGGCCTGGCATCAGACTGCTCCGCCAAGTCTGACTGCCGGGGGGTGCTGGAGGATGCTCGACCAGGGTTCGATAACCGGGGAACTCTACTGGGAGAAGAAAGGCGCTCACATTCCCGTGTGAGGGGGAATGGTGCAAGCAAGCGTGACATCGAGTCAGTTCTTCCCGCCAATTACCTGTTACCCACACGGGAAGAAACCTCTATACAAAAGTTGTAAAACCTCGCAAAGGTGTTATGTGTCACCCAGCCCGCAGCGAGGCACCGTGCACCAGCACCCAGGAGGAAGCAACACTCCGAGTGGAGTGAGCTCTCACCCCCAGGGGGCACGGCTCGCCTTGGGATTGGTACGCCAAGGCGATGGCATCCACTATCCATTGGGCCAACCTCTGCTTGGAGACAGCCTTCCCTTTCTGCTGACCTTCGTAGCAGACAAGTAGCTGCTCGGAGCTTCTGAAGCTCTGGGTGCGGTCCACGTAAATGCGTAACACTCTTACGGGACACAGCAACACCAAGGCTGGATCTGCCTCCTCCGGGGGCAGCGCTTGCAAGTTCACCACCTGGTCTCGGAATGGAGTGGTGGGAACCTTGGGCACGTAACCAGGCCGGGGTCTCAGGACAACGTGAGAGTAGGCCGACCCGAACACAAGGCACTCTTCACTTACCGAAAATGCTTGGAGGTCCCCGACCCTCTTGATGGAAGTGAGCGCGATCAGGAGCACTGTGTTAACAGTCAGGAACTTTAGCTCGACTGATTCAAGCGGCTCAAAGGGACCCCTCTGAAGTCCAGCCAGGACAACAGAGAGATCCTAGGAGGATATCAGGGGTGTCCTAGGAGGATTTAACCTTCTGGCACCCCTCAGGAACCTAACGATCAAGTCATGCTTCCCCAGGGACCGGCCGTCCACTGCATTGTGATGTGCTGCAATTGCAGCAACATACACTTTCAAGGTGGAGGGTGACAACCTACGTTCCAACCTTTCTTGCAGGAAAGAAAGCATGAATCTAATCGAGCATCTCCGGGGGTCTTCTCGGTGAGAAGGACACCAATTCAACAGACTCCACTTCAAAGCATAGGCTTGCCTCGTAGAGGGAGCTCTAGCCTGAGTGATAGTGTCTACCACGGCTGGTGGCAGATCACTCAGGTCTGCCGCATCCCGTCCAGGAGCCACACATGGAGGTTCCAGAGATCTGGGTGTGGGTGCCATATAGTGCCCAACCCCTGAGGAAGGAGTGCCAGGGAGGGGCTGTCGCGAGGAGCATGAGTTCCGAAACCAGGTCCGGGTGGGCCAGTAAGGTGCAACCAGCAGGACCTGTTCCTCATCCTCCCTGACCTTGCACAGAGTATGTGCGAGCAGGCTCACTGGGGAAAACACATACTTGCATAAAACCCGGGGCCAGCTGTGTGCCAGTGCATCGTGCCCAGGGGGGCCTGGGTCAGGGAATAGTACAGCTGGCAGTGGGAGACCTCGTGGGAAGCAAACCCCGAGGCTGTCCAGGACCCCGAGGTTGCCTGCCCATTGCACGTAGCGCCCCAGCCCGTATTGGAGGCATCTGTCGTGACAACGACACTTTGTTCTAAGGGCACCCCGTAGAAAAGCAAGGACCGACCAGGGGCTGAATAGGCAGGGACACATCGGTGTGATGGTGACACGATATTTACCGCAGAACCATGCCCATCTTGGGACTCAGGAGTGTAACCAGTGCTGAAGTGGTCTCATATGAACATATGAAGCAATCCGAGCGGCGTGACTGTGGCTGTGGATGCCATATGCCCCAGGAGCCTCTGAAAGTGTTTCAGTGGTACCACCGTCCAGCCTCTGAAAGAACTCAGGCAGCTCAGCACTGACTGGGCACGTTCTTTGGTGAGATGTGCCATCATACTCACCAAGTCTAACTCCATACCGAGAAAAGAGATTCTCTGCACGGGGAAGAGCTTGCTCTTCTTTCGGTTGACCTGAAGCCCCAACTGACTGAGGTGCCGGAGCACCAAGTCCCTGTGAACGCACAACTTCTCTCGCTACCAGGCCATGATGAGCCAGTCGTCAAGATAGTTGAGGATCCTGATGCCAACTTCCCATAGAGGGGCAAGGGCGCCCTCCGTGACTTTTGTGAAGACACGAGGGGACAGGGAGAGCCCAAAGGGGAGGATCTTGTACTGCAATGCCCGACCCTTGAACGCAAACCGTAGGAACGGTCTGTGTCAAGGAAGGATCGAGACATGAACGTATGCGTCCTTCAGGTCGATCGCTGCACACCAATCCTGGGCTTGAACGCATTTGATAATATGTTTCTGCATCAACCTCAAGCATCAAGCTTGTGAAGGGCTTGATTCAAGACTCACAGATCCAAGATAGGTCGAAGGCCACCGCTTTTCTTGGTTATGATGAAGTAAGGGCTGTAAAACCCCTTCCTCATCTCGGCTGGAGGGACCGGCTCGATTGCATCCTTCACCAATAGGACAAAATCTCCTTGTGCAAGAGATTGAGCCAGCGGCGGAACAGAAAGATAATGAAACGAAATATTCTCCGCCCGGCCCTCCTCCGGGGGAAGGAGCGCTGTCCTCGCCACCTCCTGAAGAGCAGTCTCCCACATCTCCGGGTTGCCTGTGTCAGGGCCGCTTCGTCGTCTTCTTGGAGGACTTAGCATCCGGGTGCGACACAGGGGGCGCCACTCTCCTACGTGGGGCTCAACGCACCGGCCTCGACAGTGTCTCAGCACAGGCAGAGCCGGTGTGTAGGAGGCAGGAAGGCGCCCACGGCGACGAGCAGGCTGGGACGAGGCCCGCAATGGAATGGTGGCAGCTGGAGGATCACGACAGGGCAAGATGTGTTGAATGGCCTCAGTCTGCTTTTGTACTGCCGAAAAGTGCTGGGCAAAGTCCTCGACAGTGTCGTCGAACAGGCCAGCCTGGGAAATGGGAGCGTCAAGAAAGCGTACTTTGTCAACGTCTCTCATCTCAGCAAGGTTGAGCCAGAGATGGTGCTCCTGAACCACCAGAGTGGACATCGCCTTCCCGAGGGACCGTCCCGTGACTTTCGTCCCCCGGAGGGCGAAGTCAGTTGCCGTGCACAGCTCCTACATCAACCTCGGGTTGGTACTACCCTCGTGCATTTGTTTGAGTGCCTTGGCTTGATGTACCTGCAGGATCACCATAGCATGCAGGGCAGAGGCATCTTGGCCCACAGCACTGAAAACTTTGGCAGCGAGAACCGGCGACAGCTTACAGGCTTTGGACGGGAGACGTGGATGATTGCTCCAAGTGGCGGCGTTTTGCGGGCACAAGTGCACCGCAACCGCTTTCTCCATCTGGGGAATGTCCATGTACCCCCTGGCTGCCCCGCCATCGAGGGTAGTGAGGACGGAAGAGGGAGACGAGTAGCTTCTGGCCGTAGGTCTTCGTCACCTCTTCATGCACCTCCGGGAAGAAAGGAACCGGAGCAGAACGCGGTTGTGAGCCGCGCTCCGCACTCCGCACAGCTGCCTGGGTAAGCATGGCCGACAGCTCTGGGTCTGATTCGGCAGTAACAACAACACCCTAGGGGTCTGCTCCACTCCCCTTGAGGAGGGAGAGACGTGATTGCAGCAATGTCATGGTCATACGCCCACAATAGACGCATAACTCATCCACGGGCGCCGCTTCAGCGTGCTGAAGGTCCAGACACTGTATACAGCAATCGTGGCCATCGACAGAGGACAGGAAACAACGAAACGGTATTTTGAAAAAGATGCAAATCGTACATGATTTGCTCTTTTAAAGGAAACTGCTCTTTTAGCTGAGGTGTCCAGGGGAATCACTGCTGACAGGGACACCGCTG